AAAAAAAAATATATTTTACTTAATTTTATTTATTTATTTATTTAAATTTGACCAGAGAGGGATGGAATGAGAAAGAAAGAGGAAAAGTGAGAAAGCAAGTTGCCATGTCCAGGACTCAAACTGTGGTCAGCCATGTGGGAGTCCAGCAACCATAACCACCATGCCATGTATAAGATTATATTCATTTCCTGGGACCAGTAGTTGGAGTAATGGCTATGTCACTGGACTCCCATATGGTCGACCATGGTTCAAGTCCTGAACCTGGTGGCTTAAATTCTCCAGTGGTGTGTGCATGTGTGCCCAAGATCCCAAGAGAAGAATGGAGGAGAAAGGATTGCAGCGTGGCCATCGCCCCTGGGGAGTGATTTCTCGCTTTCTGTCTCTCTGTCTCTGTCTTTCTGGTGAGCACACACGCCCTATAGCTAGAAAACAAAAACAAAAACCCTATCAGAAAAAAAAAAAAGACTGTATTCATTTCCAATAAATTATCTTCAAGGCCGAGAGTCATGCATGCTTCAAAAATCTTTAGAGCTGGGACCAGCAGGTAGTATGGTGGTTAAGGTGCTGGACATTCCCACATGAACGACTATGGTTCAAATCCTGAACCTGGTGGCTTGCTTTCTCACTTTTCCTCTCTCTCTGTGTCTTTCTGGTAAAATTAAAATAAATGAATGAATAAATGAAATTAAATTATTATTAAAAAATCTTTAGAACTAGCACAGTGATCACTTGGCACATAGTAAGTAGATAACTCAATAAAGGTTCTGGTTATTCATTCTTTTATTAATATACAGGAGATAGTTGGTATGGAAGGTAAGTAAGGTGGCTGAATCTCATATGGCCGACCCCAGTTCAAGTCCTCAACCTGGCAGCTTGAAAATCATGCCAAGCACATGTGCATGTGTGTCCAAAATCCCAGCAGGAGAATGAAGAAGGGTTTGCAGCATGGCCATCCCCCCTGGAGGGTGACATCTCATTTTCCCTCTCATTGTCTCTCTCCTGCAAGCACATAGGCCTTATGGGGGGAAAAAAATGAAAAACAAAGAAAGCAGGGCTTGCAGGTGGCATGGTGGTTAGGACACTGGACTCCCACATGGCTGACTGCAGTTCAAGTCCCAGATCTGGTGGCTTGCTTTCTCACTTTCCCTTTCACTCTCTGTCGAAATGAAAAACAATAATTACAAATAAAATGGGATAAATAAATAAATTTTTAAAGAAAGAAAATCATGCTGGGCACATGTGCATGCATGCCCCAAATCCCGAGGGGTGAATGGAGGAGAGAGAACTGAAGGATGGCCATTTATTTCTCACTTTCCCCCTCTCTCTCTCTGTCTCTGGCAAGTGCACACATCCTATGACAAAATTTTAAAAAATAAAGACACGAGATACTAGGAAATGGAATACAGGTTGGGGGGTGGGGCTGATGACTTGATATGGGATAGGCTGGGTGTTTCCTATCCTAGGGCCTTCTCTTCCCTGGTCCCCAGGGTCAACATACAATGTTCCAATCTAAGTGAGTTATTTCCTCCCCTCCCCTCCCATCAGCCCTTGGCTCAGTGCTGCCTCCTTTCTCTGTGCATCGCTATCTCTCCACCATTCAGACATCATGCCCTCTCTCTGTATCCTTGCAATAATGATGAACCCACATTTCCCACAAGATGAGAAAATTCAAGCAACCAAGGGTCCAAAGGGTTTTAAAGGCAGAGCCCAGGAGCGGACAGAAGATATAGCTTGGAGAGGCTAGAGAACTGGGTGCAGTGAGAATGGCAGTGGTGGGGCTGTAGATGATCTGGAGGGAGAGGCCAAATAAGTGAAGGGGAGACTGGACCTGATGGGGAAGGAGGAGGGGATTCCCTGCTCAGAGTCTGGTCTGTCTGGCTCCAGTGAAGCCGGCTGTTTCCTGCCCTGGTGACCCCCCCACCCTGGAGCAGGACCCAGGCAGGGCAATGAGGAAGGGCAGGGGTGGGGGGAGCACCTCTTGTGGCAGGAAGATAAGTACACTGGGACAAGAGGTCACTGCAGGTCCGGCTGTCCTCCAACAGGGCTAGGGCGCCTGGCAGCCCCCCAAGCATCCTAGCCTCTTTCTTCCCTCTGTCTTGGCTTCTCAGCTCCTCTAGAGTCCGTCCCCCTTAATTACTTTCTAAGCTCTTTCCTTTCGGTGCTTCCAGGGGCTGGCTCCAGCCACAAGCCCCCCTCCCACCCATCTCACACTATAGGTGCCTGGAGTAGAAAGGAGATTGGGGGGAGGAGCACCACTTTCCGGGATCCTTTCCACTAACTGATGGATGGGGGGGTGATGACTGGCAACCAGAGGAAGGGCCCCTCCCAGCCCTCCTGAGGGCCCCCAGGAGCCAGACAGGAAACAGCCTCAGGAAAGACAGCAGCAACAGCAGCCCCAGGGGTCATGGCCGCAGGCGGCAGGGGAGCACCCCCCCCAAAGAGAGTGAGAGTGAAAGGTGATTTGGAGATCGACTCCTCACACCTACCTTTTATTTCTCCTTGCTTCCTCGAATTTTCTACACTCTTCCTCATCTCAGCCCAGTTGCCCCTCTTGTTTTCCAGCGCCAGGCTGCACGCACAGTAGGTCCTCAATACTTAGTGTGTACCGAATGATTATGTGAATGTTCGCTTCAGGACTGTCTAAACTGGGATCTGGCTCTTGGGCGACCCTCCATCCTCAAAAGCGTTTCCCCCCTCTTCTTCCCTTTCCCTGCACATGCAGCTCCCTGCGTCAACCAAGGCGGTAGTGGGCACGTCCAGGAATGGAATCTCGGGTCCCAGCAGTCGGATCAGGCTTTGTGTGTGGTGCACACTTACGCACGCCTGTGCGGCCCCCCGTGTTGCTGGGCGTGTTTCTCTGCTCCCCGGTGCCTGTCGGGTACAGGCCTATCCCGGGGGTCCCTGGGCCCCGGTCGAGACACGCGCAGTCGGGTTAGGGCGCACCGCCACGGAGCACGACTGGGCTGTCCCTCGGCTCCTCGCCCCCCGCCCCTCCCCCTTCCCCAAACTTTCTCCCAACTTCCCGACCTGCTCCGCTCGGCGCCCCGCTCCGCTTCCCTCATGAATTATTCAGCAGCGCGCGCTCCAATCAGCGCGCCCGGGCCCCCTCGCGGAGCCTGGGCTGGGGGGGGGCGG